AACTAAACTCGTACTGAGAACTAAACAGCTAAAGAACAGCACTGTTTAGCTTAACAACTTAACTAAACTCGTACTGAGAACTAAACAGCTAAAGAACAGCACTGTTTAGTTTACCAACTTAACTAAACTCGTACTTAGAAATCTCTGGTGACTGAAGGCAGTGGTGAACAACAAAATAAGGAGCCACCGAACCTTATTAAGAGTGACATCTTTTCTGGCCTAGCTAAGTTACTACAGGACCAGAAAATACCTGCTATATTGCCCTGTACTGAGACTGTTGGACATTATGTGGTGTGTATTTCTGACATCAGTTTCATTACATAATCTCATTATAAAATACAATATTTCAGCTTTAAAAGAAAGAGAAAACAAATTTAAATTTATAATGGGACAAAAATCGGTAAAAATACGTAATTTAGGATTTAAAATTTGATGTTTTTTGTCTCTTCGTTTTCTATGGTCATAAACTTACAAACGTTATTGTAAATTTCTCCTAGATGGCAGAACTAGATATTCATATGTGACCCCAACAGTTTTGAGACATGGCGTGTTTCGTACTCTACCAGCATATAACAAAAGCTACTCCACAAACGCCCCCTGGAAACCTCGAGTGAATAACATTCCAACTAACACCATTCACATATCTGGCACCACGCCCACTCCTGCCATTCGCAACCCAGTTTTGTCTCCTGTAAACCTTATGGAGAGGATTAATGCCGCTGGTTTAAGCTTGTCAACAAAGTTGGTATGGTCTGGAAAACCTAATAAAATTCCACAATTTTTTGACATATGCAGTTTAACAGTCGTCCCAGACAATACACCTAAAACCCCGTCTTACAAACAGAATTCAGAGAAAGACGACTCATCCATTAAAGACCAAGAATTAAATAAATCGATCCATTCACAACAGATGTGGATTTGGATGATGAACTGATGATAGGGGATGACCACCTTACTATACCTCTTCCTCATTAAGCCCTTTCTTCCTCTTCTATGGAGACTTGTATCTCCAATTTAAGCCCTGTCTTCCAGGTCAGCATTTCGGGAGTTGAAAATCATCGTATGTAACCACCACGTGCTCTGAAAAAAAGTGATTCTACCAGATATTATTTCAATGTATCAGGCACAGATTACTACAGAGAGAGAGAGAATTTCGGTAAGCACGTGACAGAAACAACTAGTTAAAACTCATCGTCATCACTACTCTCCTAAAATTGTGCCAAATAAAGAATCAACAAAAACTTCTGTGATAAAACACCACCACAAGGATAGCTACAATATAGTGAGAAGCTGTGACCAAATGTACCACCAGATGGTAACAAAGTCTTTCCACACAACTTTCATAACACACATGTAACTTCAAAGTGGGTTTTTCAATACCTTCAGTAAAACAAGTACGCAACGTACAGGTATGATGTTTTCTCATAAGCACAATAAATCTAATAAAGAAATAGAATAAAGAATCGTTAATAAGAATAAGTAATTATCTCAGAATCACATGCCAACCATTCAGATGTTTTGTCTAACTTTATGTTGTAACATTTACAGCTCCAGATAAAATATTGGATAGTGAGTCGACGATCACGTCTTGGTCACAATATGGAATAAAGAAAGATAAAAACTGTCACCAAATAAAACATTTTCTTTTGCAGTCATTGTTTCAAGTAGGATATAAGAAACTGGGTCATTTCCCGGTTACAGTGTGGAACAGTTTTAGTTTTAGACATATTGTTGTTGGTTTTAACCTCTATTGCTACAGGTATGTTATATAAATTATACGATAAATTATTATATGTCTTATAAACTGATTTCATTGTTTAAAATTATTGTTGAATATTATTTTCAATTTATTTCTCTCTCTAGAAATTAGAACATAATTAATGCTTGTGATAATTAACAAATCTGTGATGCTATTTTTGTTTACCTCCAGAAACTTTGCTGTCACATTAGATATTTTATTGTAAAGCGCCACCTGTCATCTTCTGTAAGTAAAGCTTCTACAGTTGTAAGCTTGACGATTAGGTTTTTTACACATTTATAGAAGTAAGAAGAGGTTTTAGTCGAAATTTTCAAGTTTACCAATTCTGATGGCTGTACTCTCAGAAGCAGGATAAGGCAAAGGCTTTGGTGCTACGCGGGAAAAGTAATGTTTATTGGAAACATATCTTATATGCTCAGTTATAGTTTTATGTGACCAGTTTGAAGGATACTGACAAATAGGTAAGCATCAAATGCTGGGGCACGTAAGAGGGCGCTTGTAAACGTTTTTGAATCTTTCGGTAATATTCATGAAGACCAAATTGAGATATTCGTCTTAAGAAGTTGTCGTTTTTATTACTTTTATTCCGTCGTTATTATGGGATACCAGGCAATTGTTTGAAATAACTGTGATGATTTCAGATGTATAAAGGCTGCTCTACCTGCACGCCTTTATTCACAGTGGCACAGCGGCAAGTCTGCAAGCTTATAATGCTAAAAAATCGGTTATAAATATATAAATAACTTGGGTTTGTAACTTAACCAAACCCTACTGAAGAGCAGAGTTGGTCAATAAACAAAGATCACTAACCTTGGAATAACTT